TGAACATAATCAGCTGACACTTTATGAAGATAGTCTTAATGTTAATCTTTGTGCAGATGCAATGGCATTTTGATGTATAAATAACAGAATTTAAGAGACAGAGTTAGCTAAAGAACTAGCATTAGAGTTAACACAAAATGTTCTGCCTTAAGATTGTAGCAATGGCCGATGATACGCAACAGAGAGATTGAATTTATGTTCTTCTAATCCAACACATTCCATCCATAAAAAGTACTAGCGAGGACTACTAAGCGCATCGAGAAACATACTGTTTATTGAAGACAACTTCATTTGCTGCTCCTGCACTCTTCTCCTCTTAAACAGAGGCTCTGGAGATGATGATGATGATACTGAAGCAACAGAGACATTCCAAGAGCCATTTGAGCTGTCGTCAAAGTCGAATACACCGCTTCGACTGTCCTCATCAAGCCAATTCATCATCCTCTTCTTGCTTGGATTATGCTCCAACAATAGCTCAAAGCATTCACTAACTTTTTCCTGTGAAGTCATTACTAAATCAGTCTTTGATCTTCAACAGTAAAATCATTTACTATTAAAGGACTAATTAGCACAAACCTTATTAACTTTGAGTAGAGTCATGAGCTGAGATTGGTATTCAAGTTCTTCTTCACATGGTTTCAAATCCTTTATGACATAAATCATTATTGCAGTAGCTAACACAGAAGGAATGTAACTCATAAACCTCGTATCTGCAAACCAAGATCCACAATTTAGCACCAAGAAGAATCCAACTTAAACATCTCAAACAAAGGTTTTCATTTCAATAGAAACCTCACCAGCAACAACAGAGATCAAAAGACGCTCACACTTCCTAAAGAACTCCAATTGCTTGTGACATTTAGTGCCAAATCGCCGGATAATGTGATCGAAGAAAGAGATTGGAGTCACGGGATGCATCCTCCATTGAAGAGTAGAAAGAATCAAAAGCTCCATTCTTTGTATAGTTTTAGCTTCAAAGACATACCTTGCTTCTTCCACCTAAGACACACAACAAGACAATTCCCATTAGAAATTGACAACTTTCAACAAACAATTAAAATGACATTGTAAGAAAAAGAGACTAACTTGAAGGTCTATGAGTAATGGAACATGAATCTCTTCAACTTTAGCAGCTAAAGACAAACAAGACACAGCTACAAGCTGAGACATCCATGGCTTATCTGTCTGAAACTTTATACTTGTAATAAACCTATCGAAGTAGTTTACAGCAAGCAGAGCAGTCAATGAAGAGAACCCGTAATGAGATTTAACCCTAAAAACCCAATCTAAAGCCTCTTCCCTACAAGAAACCAGAAACCCATCTGAGATTTTGTCGTAAAGACAAGGAATCGTTTCGTTTTCCTTCGAAATCAGACTAATCAACTCATCGTCATCCCATAAAAACATATCCAAAAGAGGTAAAAACTGAAACTTTGCAACATTCTCATCGGATTTCTCGAGAAATTCTTCTAAGTCTTCATTATTATCAAGATCTTCTTCCACAAACGCAGTTTCTTCCTCACAGTAGAGCATATCAAGGGTACAAAACGGTGCGTTTTGACCGTTTTGTGACTCTTGTTCTTCTTTCTCCAGAGCCATCTTCTTCTTCCGAGAAGAAGATATTGCAAATGTCTCTGCTCATTATGCCATTGAAGCTATAGCGTTTCGTCGACGGATTCTACTGTGAGAAAGAAAACATAAGAGAAGAAGACCAAGAGACCAGACAATTTACCAAGGAAAGCCAAAGGGTTTTCTTATTTAATCACGCTTTGTCTTTTTATTTTTGTTTTTTTGGGGGTCCAATACACTTTTTTATAATTGTTTTAA